ATCTTATGTAGCTGTAAAGAAAAGTACCATTTTCCTGCCAATGAAATCATGGACTTTTCAGGAAAATGGAGGCAACTGGAAATCATGCTAAGTGGAATAAACTGGTCTAAGAAAGGCAAATACATTTTTTTCTCATATGCAGAACCTAAATATAAAATTATATCTGCATGTGTATGTATATGTGTGGGGGGTCGTAAACTAGAAAGAAGATCATGAGGTGGAGAACAGGTCTTAAGGAGGGTGGAAAATAGAGAAGGTACATTCGAAAGGGAAATTGACTGGAGGAAGGAAAGGAATCAGCTGGTGGTGAGTGGAGACAGGCGGGATAGTGCCTGGGGAGGAGTCTAATTGAGAACAAAATGTACAGCTCTATGAAGATGTGTGATGACACCCAGCGCTTCATATACTAACCCAAAGCTTAAGGAAATTAAAAATATTACTGGGTATTTGAAGTAGGCAGGCCAGTCTGTGTCAGACAAATCAGGAGGCTAGGGGAAGGTGGGGATGAGGACAGCCTGTAGAGGGTCTAACACTAGAAGATTAAGCGAGTCTGAGTTAGGAAACTAGTCCAGAGATCTGAGACAGAAGAGCAGGAGTGGGCCTGGGCCCAAGGCTAGAAGGGGGCCTTACCAGGTATTTGAAACTCAATTCTGAAGGATTTTCTACTGTGTCTTATATAACAAAATCACAAGCATCTGGCTCTTCACTTACAAAATCCAGAGCTTTCTAAAATACCTTGTTATACTTTAAACCCCTCTACCTTACTACCGGATCCCAATCCCAAGATCCCTCTGCACTATTACTGTATAGAAACAATTGAGTTCTCCTGCAGTACTAGATAAGCTCTATAAGACTCTCCATTTTCCCAATCCAAGGCCACCTGGTTCTCAGAAGTCATTTTATGGTGGCAGGACACAGACTTTTTGGAGTGTTCAGGGATGAGCCTCACAGAAGTCACAGAATCTGAGTCCCTTTCAGGTAATTCTAAATCAGACTGAAAGAACTAATTGCCCTCACTTGGTGTCTCCAGGTGGGCAGGAATGCAATTTAATATTTACATGGATTTGGCCTATTTCTCACTATGTTCATACTCAAGATTCAAAAGTTGCGGCCCTATGAGGTGTTAGCCAGAGAGGCCCTAGAGGCCCCCAAAATAATGAAGGCCATTGCCAATAATGTTGGTTGTACACCAGAAGTGTGCGATAAAACCCTATTCCTGAAGACACTGCATGTTGTGAGCACGGGAGAGGGAGAAATCAAGCTTTGACTAAGCTGGAAACTCCCTACCACTGGATGGGTGGCTTTCATAGTGTCAGAAGGCATGCAGATGGCTGGGGGAGAACCATCCCCTATAATTCTGCACAACGGTGGACCCCATGTGCTGCACTATCAACATACCAAACAAGATGCTCCACCTGGTGCAATAGTGGCACATGTAGTGTATGTACAACCAGCAAATTTTCAACTGGATATGATGCCTGCTCCTAGAGGTGGAACACACAACTGGTACTGTAGACCAGGCCAATCCCCATGGGGTGAGGATATACACCCCATTGGGGAAGCCACTGCAATTGTTTTGTTAGATGAATGTGTACCTGCTAAAGTACCATCCAAGCATTTGTGTTTACATCCATAGGTTAAGTTATTACAGCAGCCACTATTACAGCAGTCCATGGCAAACAGGTGATGCAGAGGCCTGAAAGTTCAGTGTCTTCCCACAATGGGAAGAAGATCATCCCACACCTATCACCCCCTCCAAGGCTCAGGGACTTTTGTGGAAGAGGTTGGCGGAAAGAATGTAAGAGCTGGAGGAAGGGGTGGAGTGTTAACTGGAAGTGTCCCCCAACCACTATTCTGGCAAGCTATAGTCACACCTCCTTCCCACACTCATCAAGGAGTCCAGGGGAGAGTCAGTTACCCCTCCCACTCAGTCAGTAAACCCTAGCTGCAGGTGGGGGAGGGGCTAAGGGTATATAAGCCAAGAACGCCATGAGGCACCTCTCTTGCCATTTTGTGTGGCTGTCAGGAAGTGACAGGATCTATATTTGAGTGTGGACTTTCCAGCACAGCCATAAATGGGGGGCACCCACTCTTCTGTAAATAAACCCCCACCCTATACTCTATTAGCAAGCCCAATAAACTTGTTGGGATTTATTCCACCAAAGCTGACCATATGATGGCAAATCCTTTGGTCTTTGATTTCTTATTCCTGTTCCCCACCGCCAACGTCATTGTGTGTGTGTGTGTGTGTGTGTGTGTGTGTGTGTGTGTGTGTTGTGGCCCATCCTTATCCCAATTTTACTTTTCTTAAGATCACATATATTCCCAAGTCCACAACACACCTCAGCCTCTTTAAAGGTTTTTGAAGACAGACCTCTTACCAGATTCAGGGACTTGTCATATGTCATAGTATCACTGGGTCCTTCAAGTCAAGACTGTAACTGAGTACCAGAAGATATATAGTCCCAAGCCCAACTCCCTCTTTTTGGAATCACATCCCCACATTACCCTGGGAGACTGGGAGCCCTTCCCCAGAACAAAAAAGCCACTCAAATTATTTGTACCAGAACTTCTCAAGTCCTGCTCATATCACCAACTCAAGTCGAGTTACACAGTCTGGCATTATGGGTTCATCTGTCTAGAGTTAAGACTCAAATGGCCTATTCCTGTGAGACCCCAGGAGACATATGTCACCTTTTCCACCAAGACTCAGATGAAACTCACCTTCAAATACCTCCACATCCCAGTGAGTAGTCAAGAATCCTTCTCTCACCTTTCTGAGCTCTATGATGGAATTTTATGAAGTCTCTCCACATTATGCCCTCAGTATTCTATAGAACCCAACCCAAAGAAATATAAGAGAGGGAGAATATGAGAGTCCAGGAGGGTCTCTGCAGGGAGACCTCTTGGAATATCCTGGACTGAGGTCATCACTTCCTTTAAGCTATAACATCTGTTGCTACTCCCATACAAAAATGTAAAACACAGTAGCGGTTCTGTACTGGGGCCTCACTGTGTTCTTGCCCATATACCTCTGTCTTTAAGAACCAGCCTGTCCCCCAGAAAAGTGACTCCTTTGCCCCTGCTAGGTCTAGTACACTTACATTCACAATCTCAATTCAAGGTTATTCCTTTTTCCAAATAGCCTTGAATCTCCTGCTATGCTGCCTCTTGATAAGTTTTGTGTCAGCAGCCAGAGTAAACCTAACACCTCCTCTAAGCCACCTGGCATCAAGAGACTGGGCTGAGGCCAGGGACACAGCCTTTCGTGAGGCTGAACACCATGCATCTTCCTTGGCCTTGAACGTGCAAGAAAGACAAGAATGATTCCTGCTTCTACCTTCAAAGTATAAGATTATACACCTGATTTATGCAGTGCTGGGGATCAAATCCCAGGGCTTCATGCGTACTAGGTGGGCACTCTATCAAGCGGGCCACATATCCATCCCCTGCACAAGCCCTGTGGACTGTCCCTCTGATGCATCTATCTTCTCACTGAAGCGAGGAAGGGAGCCTAGGGTAACAAACCAAATCCTTCTGTTAACCTACTCTCCAACAAAACAAAATGAAACACATATTAAAAAGAAGTCTGTTTGACCAGATTGGCTTGGGTCAAGACTAGTTTGCAGAAAGGAACAGTGTACCCTGTGCAGAGGTAGACCATGGGAGGGAGAAGAGACAAGTCGGTTGGGAGGGAAGTGGGGCCCAGCAAAGTCTGTCCCAGATACCACAAAGACAAGGAATTCAGACCTGTGGCCAGTATGTCTCAGACTGGGCAGGGTCTGAGCTCAGTGGTCAGCTCTGACCATCAGGATGAGCAGATACTCAGAAAGCTAACTCTGGCCTGCAGCTGTGTGATCAGGACATGTTGCAGCTGTCCTGCTATAACTCCCAGGGCCTCATTCAAACCTTGGGCCCCTCTCAGAATCTGCCACAGTAGCACAAAGCAGGCATACCCATGATGCCCCTCGTTAGCGTCCGATGGTTTGATACCCTCTTGGGCGGTTCCCAGTTGTCTCGTGGGGGACATCCAACAGCAGCATGGAGCTGTCACCAGCAGGTAGGTGTCCTCCTGGGCAGTCCTCTCCTCTCTGCCCACAAACTGCTGTCCTGTCCATGTCTCAGCCTGCCTCCATCCTGGGTTCCAGGACGGGTGGAGGTTACTGCTGCCGCCTTCTAGTTCTCACCAGCTATACAGGCTAAGAAATTCCTCAGCTCTTTTAGAGGCTTTTATTTCTAGCTCTGATATTTGACCTTTGCTCGGTTCAAATTCCCCATCTTTATTGAATGCATAGTCTTTACCGTCAATTCTATGTTAAGTTCATAATAGTTGTTTGAAAGTCCTTGTCCAATGTCTGGATCTTTTCTGAATCTGTGGATTGTTTTGCATTTCAATAATATATTATTTTTCTTATGTTTCTCAATATTTCATAATCTTACTGAATTAAAGATATCATGGACAGTTGAATATTGGAGTCTGAGCTAAATAGTGTTTATGCTTAGAATTGGGCATGCTTCCTCTGTCAGGCTGTGAGGTACAGAGTTGGGCTGAAGTTATGTTTCTGGTCAGCTTTGGAATTTGTTAGGGTTTTCTCAGGAGTTGCCTTGTGTTGAGGGCAGGGCTGGAAGATGTGTGTACAAGGTCTTTCCGGGCTTTTACCCTCCTTCCTGGCAGAGGTTACTCTATCATCTACAATGTCCCCATCTACATTTTTTCATTGAAAGTGAAAACCACAAAGATTAATATTTATATGTACTTTCCAGGGAAAACCCCAGTCCCATTCATACCCAAGGTCTCTGAGCCAGCCTCTGAAACAGAAGTCCCAGGCCACCCACACATCTGCTTGTGGCCTTTCCTGAGGCCATGTCCCTGGTGGTGTCCCAAACCTGGCATTCCACTCAGAAATGTTAAACCTTCCTTTCACCTAAGTATATTTCTGTATGCTACAGACCATAAAAGAATTTCAAATCACGATATTAATTTATTTTAAAGCTAGTATATTTTATAGACAAGACAGAAACAAAGTGACAAACGTTGTAGGGCCTATGTGGACACGTATGTTAAAACAATAAGAAACCAAAGAATAACAGGGCATTAGTCGTGATGGTCATCAACCACTTGGCTTGTGGTAGCATAAACTTGGAAGCAAGCATCCCTGGACCAAGAAACCCAGACAGCACCTTGCCTTACCTTCACCCCAACACTGACACCTTCCTGCTGCCCCTTCAAGTCATGGAAAGTGTCTCCATGGCTCAGCCCCCAACATGGGGCAAGGGTTACTAAAGAAGAAAAGGGTCAGGATTAAGAGTGAGATTTTCTCCGGCCATGTTGTAGAGCTTAACTCATTACAACAGTCACATGGGCCTTGAACTCTACCACAGCGCATTCTGTCCCAGGGTGTGCCTCCCACAGCCCTGAGCTGGTTGTGTATCATGCACATAGACACTTCCTTCCTAAAGTAAGTTCACTGAGGCTCTTAGAGCTCCTGTGCCCAATTCCCCCTCCTCCCTGTGATTGACTTAGCTGCTTGAGATTTTCTCCGGCCATGTTGTAGAGCTTAACTCATTACAACAGTCACATGGGCCTTGAACTCTACCACAGTGCATTCTGTCCCAGGGTGTGCCTCCCACAGCCCTGAGTTGGTTGTGTATCATGCACATAGACACTTCCTTCCTAAAGTAAGTTCACTGCGGCTCTTAGAGCTCCTGTGCCCAATTCCCCCTCCTCCCTGTGATTGACTTAGCTGCTTCTTTCCATATCCACAGACACTAACTAGAAATTGGCTAATTTAAACATAAGTCTTCTCTTATCGTGCTCAGAAGTCAAAATAAGGAAATCCTGTTTCCCTTGTCCAACTGGTCAGCGTCCAATTTCCTACAGGCCTTTCAAGAACTAGCTCATCCTTCTTAAACCCAGTGCTATAGTGGAACCAACCTGTGCTCGGGTATCTCTGCCTCTTACTGTATATACTTGACTTTTTCCTTTGTGATCAGAAAAGAGTTAGATACATACAAACATACCCACTATACATATTCCAATACATATGCAAAAATGCGTTTCATGAAAATCTCGAAAACCACATTGAAGATTTCACATATTAGTCTCATTCTCTGTCTCTCTGTCTCTCTGTCTCTGTCTCTCTCTCTCTCTCTCCATCTCTCTCTCCATCTCTCTCTCTCCATCTCTCTTTAGAAAGAAAAGGGCCATAATAGAAAATTGAGATGTGCTATTTTTAGTTTATTTGGTAGGAAATCATCCTTCTAACAAATGTATCAGAAGTGCACGTGAACACACGCAGACCTGACACATGAACACGTGCAGCCCTGATGTCTCTTCCACGGGTAATCCTACAGGTCAGTGAGGGAAGGGAAGGAGCACAGCTGCCTGTGTGCCAGAACTAGAAAACCACGCCGTGTCAGTCGGATAAAAGAAAATGAAAACGTTTGTTTCCTCTGTCTCCACTGCAGGGCAGCAGGCATATTTCCCTATTCGTTCAGGTCAGGAGTGACCCGCAGATGCAGTCACAGATGATAAAAATGTCTTTAAAAGGTTTTAAGTTAGACGAATTTATTTTCTATAACTGCGTACATGCAGTTAAAAGTTAAGACCGAGCCTTTGCCAAGCTGTCTTATTGCGAGCACCCTCTGCTCACATGTGCCTGATCCTAAGGGTCCTGAGCCACAGTCTCCCCTAAGTCTGCCGCTCCACCCTCATTTCCAGCTCACCCCACTCAGCCATCTTCTACACAGAAAGCAGATGCAGGGCCTCTCCGACCCTCTCTGGGCTTTCTCTCCTGTGACTGCAGGCCCCATAGCATGTTTCTGTGAGTCTTATCTGTCCTTCACAATCACTTTAAATTCTGCCTCTTCATATCTACACCCAGACTGCTCCAGGTGACGTGTTCTCTCCACTGGGCAACACACACACACACACACACACACACACACACACACAGGAAGTTTCCAAAAATGCTACCTCTGACTGAGGGACTCTGGGATTGAGTCTGGCCATCATTTAATACAAAGGTGTTTCTGTTCTGAAGCAGCTCCCCTGCCAGCCCCCAAAGCCTTCAGCAGAATGCATCCTTAATCTTGTGTCATCTACTATTTTGTGTGTAGAAATCCCTAAACTTCCATAATTGTCACAAAGCTGGAATAAATAAAACAAAAAGAGAGTACTCAGAACTGAGGAGATCCCAGTTCTAGAGATTTCAACTCCAGAAAATTCTCACTGTGTGCTTGAGTCTAGAATGGCTTAATATACATCAGAGCTTTCTCTCATTTTTGGTGGTGTCCATTTGGGGAGCATCAACTACCTTGTACAATGTGGTTTTCTCTGCATCACTTTGGCAAGCACCTTTCTTACTGACTGGAGAGCAGGCAGAGAGAAAGGCCCTGCCCTTCATGGGATGCCCGCACCACAGAGATGGCATCACGGCTTCCTCCTTCTCCACAGCTGGCTCCTTGAAACTTGAAGCACCTCCAGCATCCTGAAGTCTAGTGAGTCCCTCTCAGTCCCTCTCTCCTTTCCTGCTCCTGGCACAACCAGATACTCCTCAGCAAGCTTCAACGCTGGCTGGCGCTGAACGCTTTCTGCTGCTCAGAGCTGTCTGAGCTGTCTGTTATCCCCATCCCACCCCCAGGTCCCTGTGACAGGGGCAACTTGTACCCAGCAAGGGCTGTACCCTAAGAGGGGAACAGTTTAGGTCTCTGAAAGGTGTCTCTACTCATCTCTGACCATCAGTCTTACCTCCAGTCTCCTTTGCTTTATAGCCAGCTTCCTAAAGAATGGTCTCCAGAGAGTCTCACTTCCTGATTGAACATTGGTGGAAGGTACCACCAGGGTGAGCATGCCAGGATGAGCACATGCAGTCGGACTGCTCAAAGGCTTTCCCAGCTGCTACAAACAGGACAGCAGAGAGGACTTAAATTATTTATTGGACACTTAGAGTTTCATACTTCGTCACTAGCTCATTATCTTTAGTGGAAATTCCAAACTCACTCTGCTGTGCATTCTTCCCGGTTGTCATTATCACATTATGTTTTAAATTTTTCATCATTTGCATTCATTGCAAATAGCACTGGGTTACACAGGAGTTTTCATACAGGTATGTATTGTGCTTGAAGCACATTCCCCTCTATACCTCCCTGATCTTTCCCTTTCTCCCCTCTCCCTCCTCTGGTCAGTCCCTTTGTACTATCATGTCATATATACACACATGATTTAATGTATCTATATAAAATCCAGGAATTAAAAATGAGAAAACTTACAGTAACTGTCTTTCCGACAGGCTTAGTTCGCTTAGAATGATAATCTATTTTCCTGTAAATGATGCAACTTCATTCTTTCTATCTCTGAAAAAAATCCTTGTGTATATAAACATTTCCTTCACCCACTGTTCTGGTGTTGGATACTTATCAATAACTTACTCCTTCATGATGGTTAAGTATCATGTGACGGGTTGGCTTGGAGTAATATCCAGGAGTGGTACAGCCAGACCATTGATAGAACAAATTTTAGGTTCTGAGAATCCTCCACATTGATGCCCATCAGGGTAGGGTGGCACTAGTTTACCTTCCCACCAGCCATGTGTACGTCATAACAAGCATTTGTTTATCATTTATGTTCTTAATGATTGCCATTCTGATTTGGATGAGATAGAATCTCAAAGTCTTTTTAATTTGCATTTCTATATTTATTGATTAAGCTCTTTTGAGGGCTTTATTTTTTAAACTTATTTATAGATTCTAGCTATCAAGTCTTTCAATCTGTAGGCTGTCCCTCCACTGTATTGACTTGCCTTTGCTGTGCAGAAGCTTTTGAATTTCACGAGGTCCCATTCTTCTAGTGTCAGCAAGGTTTCCTGACACCTGGGATTGCCTATGCTTATATTTGGAAGTGTTTTCCCCGCCTTTTCCTCTAACAATGTGAGTTTCAGGCTTCTGATCTAGACTCACCTAAGAGACAATGTCTGGGCATATCTGTGACTCTGTCTGGTTGTGTTTCATGTATATTTTGGGGTGAGTTGGTCTTTCAATTTTGACTTCCCTTCTTCTGGTGAATTGGCTGTTTTGTTCTCTGTGCTTCTTCTTAGGATACCTGCATGAGGCAAAGCCATGGTGACTGATGTAACTCGATACACAATGAAAAATGGAGTCACAGAGGTCAGTCATCCTGTCTTGGCTCTGTGCCGACGGACCAAGGGTAGAGCCATCGAGCCCCAAGGCAGCCAGTGGAGTTCCAACTATTTCTCTTTAAAGTTCATCTTCTGTTCTTGAATTTTATATTGTCTTATCAGCTCAGGAAGGAAACAATCATTTTCACTTTAAATAGTTCTCCTAATGCACACTCTGTTCTTCTCTTCCCTTTCTTTTTTATTTTTCTGAAGAAGGAGTTTTTGGTTCATGATTCCTGGTATAGTTCATCACTGTGAGAAAGTCAAGTCAGCAAGAACTTGAAGCAGCTAGTTTCATCACATCCACAGTGGTGGTACCATCCACTGTGATGAGGAATCCTGCATGGAGGTGGAGCTCCAGGGTCCATATGGCCAACATCTGATGGAGATACTAATGATCTGGACACATGAGAAATTGAGCGTCACATAGAGATTTGGAAGAGGATTCAGACGAGAGGAGCTTGTAAAAGCACCACAGTGCTCACTGGGTACTTAGGAAAGGGGAAAGGGTCAGAACCAATATCATGAAAGTGGTGGAAGAATTTAAGTTCCCACAAACAAAAGGAACAGCAGCTGGAGAGATGGCTGAGCAGTTAAGAATGTTTCCTGCTCTTCCAGTGGGACCTGAGTTCCTTTCCTATTACCCAAGTCAAATGGCTCATGACTCCCTATAACTCCAGCTCCATCTGGCACTCTCTTCTGGCCTTCATGAGCACCTGAACATACATGGCATTTACACACACACACACACACACACACACACACACACACACAAATAACAAAAGTAAATTTTTTTTAAAAATTATTTTATGTGTATGAATATATTGTTTACATGTATGTAAGTGCACCCATGTCATGCAATGCCCATGAAGGTCAGAAGAGGGCTGTGGATCTCCTGGGACTGGAGTTACCTACTGTTGTTAACCACCATGTGGATGCTGGGAATCCACCTCAGGTCTTCTGCAAGAGCATCTCTCTAGCCCTAAAAAATAATTTTTTTAAAAAAAGGAAATCACTTGAAAAAGACCTAAATTGAGGTAAGATTTTGGATACTGGACAAGAAAAATCAAAGAAGTTAGTTTATGGCAAAAAATTAATCATTGGCCACAGGAGTTTGGGGATTCTAGTTATTCGTGATTTTTCTAAAATATGATTATTTTCTATCTGTAGGGATCAAACTACAATGGCAACTCAGTACTACAGTGTGAATTCCGACCTGGACAAGTCAGGAAGCAGCCATTGTAAGAGGTGCTGGGTGCTGGGTGCTGGGTAGGGGCAGCCAGACTGCAGGGAGTGGGAGGCAGGGAGAAGCGTGGTCCCTCTTGTCACAGCCAGTCCCTACCCAAACAAGAGAGACTTTGCAAATCTTCAGTCATTTCTCATTTTCCTTGTTATCTCATGTTTCTTGATCCTCTATACTTTCTTCTGACGATACACCCATAATACTGAGCCTAAAAAATTAAACAGCCTGTTCTCTCTCTCTCTCTCTCTCTCTCTCTCTCTCTCTCTCTCTCTCTCTCTTCCTCCCTCCCTCCCTCCCTCCTCCCCCCTTCTCATACTTTAGCCCAGGCTGTCCTAGAACTTAGAGAAATTCTCTGGCAGCTGCCTCCTGAGTGCTGGGATCACAGGAGTGAGCCAGCAGGCCTGACTCAGCACAGCCTCTTCCTACAACATCCACCTAACAGAACATCCCAGTGACCTCACTCGGCTTTTCTGGTCTTTATTCAGCCTGAGGGAGGATTAGAAAAGAGGAGCAAAGCGGTAATTGATTCTCCATTCATGGCCCTAATTTTCCTGACCTCAGTGATAAAAAATTAATCAGGGGGAATCGGCGAGTCACTGAAGCCTCCACCGACTCTCCCTTCACAGAAGCTGACTGACAGTTGAACTTTTGCTTGTGTAGCAAACTGTCCCACAGTTTAGTAGCTTTTAAGCATCAACCATTTGCTTGACTCCAGATTCTATGAGTGTGTAAGGCAGCTCTAGGGTCTTAGGTCGCTATGCTAATTCTGCGCACTTGCTCATGTGTCAGTGGTAACTTAGTGGTTCAGTGTCAGATATGGACTTAATGGGCTCATGGACATGTGCAGCTTGGGCTTCTAAAACTTTTTCAACTTGATGCAAGATTGAGTGATCACTTCAAATGGGATATGAGAATGTTTATTCTGGAGCCCAGTATCAGTGACGATGGTCCAGGAATACAGATTTAGGTGAACCCCAAACTTGATGGTAACAATTTCATGAAGTTTTTATAGTAACAGAACAAAGATCATTAATCAAGACACAAAGTACCTTGGTGGAAACATCAGGTAGGTGGGTTAGAGCCAAGGGGGAAAAGCTCCTCTACAGGCCTCCGATGCCATCTGGTGATATTGTTAACCTTTTGCTTGCTGGAAGCCACAAAAGCTACGAATCTGTTAATACATTCCAAAAGGTTTTACCCAATAGTCACACGGAAGTTAGGTCAGACACAGATGTGGGCAAGGAATATTTAAGAGGACTAGAGATAGCCCAAGATAAATTGTAATTAAGCCCAAGACTTGCACCTTTCCACCCTCTCCACAATTACTGATGTTATAACCATTTAATCAGTCTTATCCACTTTATAGAAGGTTCAGTGCAAGTCGTGTGCTTTTCAGGGGGGACTTTATGTATATATTTGAGACGGGGTCTCACTATATAGCATTGGCTGGCCTGGAACTCACTATGTAGACCATGCTATCCTTGAACTCACAAGAGATTCAACTGCCTCTCCCTCTTGAATGCTGGGATTAAAGGTGTGTGCCACAACACCTAGCCTAGAGGGGTAGGGGGCATGTTTTGCTTTTTTTTTTTTTTTTTTTTTTTTTTTTTTTTTTAAAAAAAAAAAAAAAAAATTTAAACCTTAAAACTTTGCATTTCTTCCTGTTAGCCAAGCATCACATCATATACATGGGAGGGCCAAATATTATCATTTAAAAATGATCTCCCATCTCTATAATTGCTGATTCCTAGCAGCTGATGAGGATGAGGCTGAGCAGCAGAGAGGAAAGCAGTCTTTAAGAGACATGAAGATGCCGTTGGTCGGAGGACAGAGTCGCAGCTCCATATTGTCACTCTGAGCAGCCAGAGGAGGTGCCCTAATTTTTAGGTACCTCAACTTGGGCCGAACTAGAATTCATGGGAGTGAATAGGCTCAGTCAGTTTGAAGCAGAGTCACAGATTTTACTAAATATACTTAATACAATCTTAGCATAAGGGTTAGGAGAAAGAACCATTCAGGGAGAAAGTAAAAAATCCCCAATTGTGGATATTGGCTTCCCGAGGGAGAGTGGCCATTACAGGGGAAATATTAAGAGTATGGCATCTCTCATCTTCAGGTTTCATCCTAAAACGGCCCATAACAATCTTTTCCTTTGATATAAAATTTTCTTTTGCTTGGAGATTGTTCTACATTTATCTCTGTTGCTGTGATAAAACACTGAGAGCAACTTAGGGAAGGAAAGGGTTTATTTCAACTTACAGGTTACTGTGCATCATTGAAGGAAGTTAGGGCAGGAAATCAATCAGGAAGTTGAGGCAGAAACCATGGAGGAACTTTGCTTGGTGACTCACTCACAAGCTTATGCTTAGCCTTATACAGCCCAAGACCACCTGCCTAGGGAATAGTGCCACCCACAGTGGGCTGAGCCCCCCTTCATCAACTCACAATTAAGACAATCCCCCACAGACATGCCCACAAGTCAGTATGGCTTGGGAAATCCCTCATTTGAAACAATTTCCTTCTCAGGTGACTCTAAGGTGCATCAAATTGGCAGTTAAAGTTAACGAGGACAGAGACAGATAAAGAAGAGGAAAGTGCTGGTGAGGGTAGAGGATTGAGGATGGATTTATGAGAATTATCTTTAGTTTTGACATAACCTTAAAGGAATTAATTTTTTACTATTAATTTCTAGAGTCTTGTATCTCATCACAGCCACAGAAAATTAACCGATATAGATGCTTATTAAATACTGATGTGAACTCCCACCAAACAGTTGTCTCACATAACCTTAGCCTTCTTTTATACAAGTTTCTTAGTCACAAGACTTTTTAATTTTTTTGTATTTAAAAAAATTGGTGTGTATGTCTCTGTGTAGGTATGGGTACATGAGCACAAGAGCCCATGGAGGCCAGAGACGTCGAATTCCTGGAAGCTGGAGTTATAGGTGGTTGTAAGCCACCTAATGTTGGTGCTGGGAACTGAACTTGGGTCCTCTACAAGAGCAGTAATATATTCTTAACCACTGAGCTGTCTCTCCAGTCCCAGTCATAAGACATTTGAAAACATTCTTGTATCCTATCATTCCAGTTCTCAAAAATGGGAAATTCTGTCTAAAGGATCTTGAAGACTTATATAACACTTATGCATAGCTCTTAATTGGGGGAAGAAAAGCTCCTTCTAAAATATAAATTGGGCAAAGTAAATCTGCCCCTGTGGACAGCCCAGATTCAAGCTTTGCATTATTTCCTGCATTATTTCAACAGCGGCTCACAGCTCCCTTCTGAAACAACTGTATTTCCTTCTCTGTAGGCTAGGAAGCTGCCAAGAGTCAGAAAAAGGAGTTCAAAAGAATCCTGAAAAGAGAAGTGAATGCAGAATCTCGTTCTCAACCATGTGAAACTCTGTCTTTGTATAGTGAAGGCTCATATAACACTCACACCTAGTTTTAGTGGGAGTAAGAAAAATAAATCTGCGTATGCACGTACCCCATTGAAGCTCTGTGTTATTTTCTGGATTAGCGGAGTGGGGCAGCTGTCAGCAGCAATTCACAGCTTTGTTCAGAAAACATTTCATTTGCACTTCCATGGGATATCAGTCTGCAAAAAGACAGAGGAAGGATTCAAAGAACCTTAAGAAGAGGCAGTGAAGGAAGGAGTCCAGGGATGGATGTGCCAGTTTTCTGAGTCCTGCAACACACCACAGGACATTGTCTCCAGACCCGGTGAAGGCAGAGGCGACAGCAACAGGCGGGCCCCCAACCAGCACTGGAGATGGGCACAAGGTGGCCAGACTCTGCGTGGGAGATTGTCGGAGGTTGAGTCTAACACTTGGCTTCTGTTTCCTTCATGTTTCGGTGACTGAAAAGCAAGGTCAGGGAAATTCCCAACTGAGAATTGTCTTACTGGATAAAACTGGAGCAGGAAAAAGTGCAACCGGGAACAGCATCCTTGGAGAGAGGGCATTTCACTCTGGCATTTCAGCAAAATCCATTACCAAGGTCTATGAGCAAAGGAGAAGCACGTGGAACAGGAGAGAACTTACTTGTCGTGGATACTCGGGGCATATTTGACACTGAGGTACGAGATGCTGACACACACAAGGAGATCGCTCACTGTGTCACCCTGACCTCCCCAGGGCCTCATGTCCTGCTCCTCGTGGTCCCTCTGGGCCGTCACACTGTGGAGGAACATAAGGCCACAGAGAAGATTCTGGAAACATTTGGAAACGAAGCTAGAAAATTCATGATTGTCTTATTCACCAGGAAAGATGACTTGGATGGCATTGACTTCCATGAGTACTTAGAGGAGGCTCCAGGACTCTTCAAGGTTTATTGGCCATGTTTGGTGATCGTTGCTGTGTCTTCAACAAGGCAACAGGAGCCGAGCAGGAGGCCCAGAGGACACAGCTGCTGACCCTGGTCCAGCGCATGGTGAAGGGGAACAGTGAAGGATACTACACCAACAAGATGTCCGAGAAGGTCGAGAAGGTGATTCAGAAAGAAACCCGTGATTTGCAAGAATATTACAGAGCAGAGACAGAGAGAGAGAAGGCATGGATAAGGGAGGAGTATGAGGAGGCAATTAGAAACCTGAAGGATCAGCTGGAGCAGGAAAGGAGATGGATGGAAACGGAGAAGGAATTCTCAAGAACAGAACTTTCTATAGAGAAACAAGGTGCAAGAAGAGAAGTTTTAAATCATAATATGATATTCGAAATAATCTTAAAGCACTAGCCGTTGCCTGCTTGATCTTGCCCCTGTTTGGTGAGAGTGAAAAATAGAATGTTGTCTGTATAGTTTCCATTTCTCTGATGACCCCCCCCCCCACACACACACACAGGACTCACTCTCAAGGGTCCAGTGCTCTATTTTTAAGGACTAAGGAATGCAGTGAAGTTCACCACTGGAGGTTGGTAGATGTCCAGTTGATTTGTATCAAGAGATTCACAAATTCTCAGTTTGTGGAGCTTTAAAGCAGGTCGTTTTTATGCTTGCCACCTACGCATTTTTCCTAAGACACAGGAAGGTCACTGAGGGGACCACAGATGATGGCTCCAGGCTTTATCCAGTATTTCTCCTCCAGGCTCTGGGCAGACAGTCTATTTTCAGACTCATTTCTACTCACTTATTTTTGCCTTTAGGACAACAATGATCATGTTTCTCAATTGTTTTTTAGAAAGTTCTTTGCATGAGATAATCGTATAGATAAATATGGTTGTAGAATTCTTCCTCAATGAATGCCATTTTCACAGCAGGTCTCAAAATGTTCCTTATTATCTAAGCTTTAAGGAAAAAAGTGTTGTCTTCAAAACAAATCTTAGAACTCAAATAACCCCTGGGAGCAAAACTCAGTTCAACAGACAACAATGTTCGCTGTGTTCTCAGGTGTGTGGGTAGAAACTCTGGCCAACCTTAGTTTATCCACTTTCATGAAAAATCAGTTCTCTTTTTCCTTCAAAGCTGTGCTGATTACTCAGCCCGTCATTCCACGCCTTGAGTACTTGCTGCTTCTGCCCCCAACCAGTCAGTTCATTATATTTAAAGCACAAGACCCATGCCAGCTCAATCGGACAGGGCCAGAGTGGTAAGGGGGAAATGAGTGGCAGGCTGGCCCCAGATGGGAACTGTTAGAGACTGATCACTGCTGGGTGAGGGAGAGCAGACCTTCCTTAAGATCTCTAGATAGGCTGACTGGACTCCAGTGGATGAACTTGCACAAAGGACACCTGTGTAAAATGCTTCACTGGGTGGGACTTAACATGTATGGCAGAATACATAGGCCTGATGAGGGGGGTGTGGATGGGGGAGGGGGTCTTAATTTGATTAAGAACTATCGTATGAAATGTACAAAAGCTCCATAAAAATTATTTAAAAACTTCTTTCGCTTCTCTCTTATGTGTGTGGAATTGGAGTCTGTTTTGTCTTAGAAGATGCTTCCCAGCCAAGGTTCTCTTTCCTGATGTAAGCTGTGTTCGTGGGCATATTCTATAACCATGCTGAAACTACCAGTTTATTTCTTAAACATTTTAACAATTCTCTCTATCCCTTGTTCTACTATGTTCCACGAGCCTTAAGTATAGAGGTTCCATTGTAGATGTTGCCATTTAAGGCTGGGCATCTCACAGACACTCATTTTCTGTGTGATAAGTTGTGGCACTCTGTAATAGCCTCTGTCTGTTGTAAAAGAAGCTTCTTTGATGAGTGGTGACTGGCATACATGTCTGTAAGTATAAGGACCCACATTTAGCATACAGTAAGAAATTACATTTGTCTAGGGGTGTGACAGACTTAAGGCGTTCTCTAAAACCTAAGACCTCTCCAGCCATGTGTATTCAGCCAACGAATCTCTCAGCTCTCATCAGTGAAGCCTCCTCATGCAACAGAGGTTGATGAACACAAAAGGCAAAGAAGTAAAGAATAAGAAACTGCAGAGTGTGAGTTCCTGGACAGGACTTCTAGAGTGAAGTTCACTCACCCAGGGAAGAAGGACTGGAAGAGCCAGGGGAGGAGGTGCATGTCCACAAGGAAACAGTCTTACAGGTTCCTGGGACCTTGCTCATATGAACTTACAGCAATGGTAACAGCACGCACGAGACCCATACAAACTCAGATAAAACCAGTATAGAACTGGGGAAATGAGCAGGAGGCCACAACTTTGATGGGGAACTACTGGCAGCTGGTCACTGCTGGGTGAGGGAGAGTTGATCTGCTTTAAGGGGGGACACAAGAAATGCTGTCGAGCCTCCAGTGGATAAACTCACACCAAGGGACATCTGGGTACACAAACTTGACTTGATAGGCCTTCACATGTATGACAAAATGCATGAAGTCCTGTGAGCGGGCTATGGAGGGGTACAGATAGGAAACGGGGGCTAAATATGATTAAGATGTAAGGAATCCACAAATTTTCAATAAAAATATATTTTTTAATTCTTTGGCAGAGGATGTGTTCAAGTGCTTTGAACAATTGATATTGATCACCATATGCTCATTCAGAAAGGAGTTTTACAGCACTTAAAATGTGTTACAAACCTAAAAAATTGACAATTTTATACATGCATAGAATGTAATTTAGTCCTTTTTACCACCTATTGGCCTGTCAGCCCCTCCCACTCCATTAAACCCTTCTTCTTTCTACTAAGTCTGCCTTCCATGCCTTCTTGCTGTGTGTTTTGACTTGCTGTGACTTGCTGATTTTGATTAGGGTTGCTTGCCTGAAGGTGCTTGGGGATTTATTTACTAGGGCATGGCTACACCACTGAAGAGAATGGTCCCCTCGTAAGCCTTTCCCCATCCAAGATGGAACTTTTACAGGGCCAGTCTCGTGCAGGACTGAGCGCAAGGACCACATCGTTCCCAGAGGCTGGCATTTCACAGCACCCCTCCTCATCCCCCTCCTTTCACATTATCTCAGTTCCCCCGTTCAGGATTGTCCCTGCAGCTTGAGGGGTGATATGGATATCCTGTTTAGGGCTGGGCATTCAAAAGTCACTTATTCTAAGCCTTTCGGCCAGTTATTAGCCTCCACGTTAACTGTCACCCTCTACAAAAAATGCTTCTTTGTAGAGCTGCATCAATCTGATCCCCGGCTCTCACCTGGATTCTCATTACCTCCCTGCCACGCTACCAACTTATGTCTAAACTTGTGAAGGACTGTCCTGCAGTGACCACATGTGTGCTGTGACCTGTGCTAAGCTGTGCACGTGCTTCCTGGTGTGGGGACTGGCGCCTCCACTGTATTTTGTGAGATCAGTGCAGTTGATTGGCATGTGTTCACCACCACACAAGTGAAAAGTCCTGACGCAGAGAGCAGAAGACAGACAGGACATGGCAGAGATCCTGAGCTGTGTGCTGTAACTGCCAGTGTGCCTACACAGAAAAATGTCAAGCTGTAAAAAGTTGTCTCCAGCAACTATTCAGTGAGCCAACGCAGAACTTGGTGGAAGCCGGGGGCTGTAAAAGGGCTTAGTATGGTTTGTGGTGAGACCAGAAGGGCCCTTGGCACACCAAGAAGAGGAAGCTGAGTGCCTATCTCAGGGTATGATCTGCTTCCTAGGCTAGGTCTTATACCAAGAAGGGGACTGATCACTGACTTAATCACCCAGCAGTGTCTCCAACTCAAAAGGCTATGAGGAACCTCAAGGGTCAAAACTTCAAACTGCAGGGCTGTTCCTAATGCTGCTTCCTGGCAAAGATCCTCATCCTATCTCCCCAAACCCTCCCTCCCCTGGTCTGCTCACTGCCTCTGGTCTCCAAGAGGAATCGCTAGTTCTCAGAAGCAGCATGGTGGAGCTCCACACATGATCAATCAGTTCTCTGAAAACTGGGTCAGTGGTGATGAGTTAGTGAACTGGACCATGTCATGAGTGAGCAATGGTTTCCTGCTCACCTGAGTATAGCCAGAAATGAGGATTTTAGTCAAAGGAGGAAGGGACTGGGAAAAACCAATTTTTAAAGTTTTCTACTCAGATTTCCTCCTGATTATCGTGGTAAAATGGGTTAAAAGCAGCCAACAGTGTTACATGTCACTGCCTGAATGCTTCCCTACCTTGAAATTTTCTCCACTAGGTAAACTAGTCCGTAGTCTTTCAACTTGGCCTTCCACAAAGTCTCAAGGCATGGGCACAATGCATTAGAATTCTTTGCCAAGGTATGACAAGGACGGCCTCCACTCCAGCTTCCAATAGAGTCCTTATCTACATCTGAACCCTGACCGTAATCCTGTTCATACTTGTGCAACAATCTGGAATTCCAAGCCCTCACCACGGTATACCCTCACCTACCCATTAAACTCTGCCTCCAGAATTCTAAGCCTTCTCTAACCTGGTCCTCCAAACTTTTCCAATGTTTCCTGGAAACCAGCTAGTTACAAAATGCCTCCATTTCATCTCAGGTACAGTCACAACAATGACCTCACTTCTTCCTTCCAGTTTTCTAGGCTAGTCAGCTTTCTGTAACTTTGGAAAAATACCTTATAATCAACTAGTTTTGTTTAGTTTAAGGACAGAGTCTCACATTCATGCCAGGTTAGCCTGGAGCTCACTAGGTAGCCCTTCTTGGTCTCAAACTTATAATCCTCCTGTTTCAGTCTCTTCAATGCTGGCCTTACAGGCTTGAACAATATGCCAGGCTGTATAATCAATATAGAGTGAGGAAAGATTTGAGCTCCTGATTTCAGAGCCATCACTCCATGTGATTTGACCCTGTTACTTTGGACTTGATGTAGCACAACACATCAAGGTGGGAGGATGCGATACAGGAGTGTATTTACCTCAAGGAGGTAGAGACAAACAGGAAGTCTCACGGGGCCCGATATCTGCTCTGAGGGCATGCCTAAATTTCCCATGTATGAAGCAAATCCAGACAGTTGAGGTGCTTCAGAAATAAGCCTTACATTTCTAACTACAGTGGGGCTTGGGACCTGATTCCACTGGACATGGCGGTGTTCAGCATCAGTAATCCATGTGATGGCAGAAACCCAGGGCAGTGGTTCTGAATGTGAGATCCCTGGTCCAGCCACATCATGGGGATTATTAGAAATGTAATGCAAAATGTACTAATTCAGGGCTTCCAAAAAAGTTTCCTGGCTAGTAACAAGCTCTTTGTATTTTTTGAAACAGGCGAAAGCTTGATGATGCCTGTGGTGACCAGTGAGAACTCATGCATTGTTCCCATGTTACTCATTTATATGTTTTTGAGATAGGGTCTTACTGTGTAGTCCTGGATAGCCTGCA